TCTTGTCTCCCTGTTTGTGTTTCTGTCTCCCTATTTGTATGTGTTGATGCCTGGAGATGCGGTGTTGTTGCAGCATGTAATTAAGGCTTTCTTGAGAGTGATGCTGCTTGTGGCTGTCTCCTTAACTCTGCTACCCTCTGTGTGTGTGTGTGTGTGTGTGTGTGTGTGTGTGTGTGTGTGTGTGTGTGTGTGTGTGTGTGTGTGTGTGTGTGTGTGTGTGTGTACTCACCTATTTGTGTTGACATTTGGGCCACATAATGAGATTCCAGACCCCACTACAACTACTTCTGGAGGACACTAATTAAACCAGGGTCGCAAAGAGGCGCAAAGACAAGGTGCAAAGAGGCCCAAAGACAAGGTGCAAAGAGGCGCAAAGACAAGGTGCAAAGAGGCGCAAAGACAAGGTGCAAAGAGGCGCAAAGACAAGGTGCAAAGAGGCGCAAAGACAAGGTGCAAAGAGCGCAAAGACAAGGTGCAAGAGGCGCAAAGACAAGGTGCAAAGAGGCGCAAAGACAAGGTGCAAAGAGGCGCAAAGACAAGGTGCAAAGAGGCGCAAAGACAAGGTGCAAAGAGGCGCAAAGACAAGGTGCAAAGGAGCACAATGAATTTGGAAATGAACGCAAAGAAATGCAAAGGCATAAAGAGAGACACTAACATAAAAAAACGCACAAAGGCGCAGAGAAACAAAGAAACACAAAGAAGGTACAAAGGAATACAAAGGCACATAGAAACACAAAATCACAAAGAAAGTAACCAAGGATCACAAAATAAGGCACAATTTTTTTTTTACTGTATTGGACATGTTTCATTACTTTTTTCATCCCACACACACACACACACACTCACACACACACACACACACACACACACACACACACACACACACACACAACACACACACACATATATATATATATATATAATATATATATTTATATATATATATATATATATATATATTATATATATATATATATATATATATATATATATATATATATATATATATATATATATATAATATATATATATATAACTACCCAGAAGGGCCTAGAGTAAATTATTTTATATGAATGGACGCCAGCAAGTAGGTGTCACTAACTCTTGCAGATATTTTTCATGCACTGTTTAAACAATACAGTTCTTGGTGTATATACACAGCGAGTGATGTTCACCTCTCAGTGTATATTCAGTGTATACCACTGCTTTCGCCAGGGTATAAATACCCCAGCGAGCCAGCGGAGGGTGGCCAGTGTGGCTCCAGCCTCCACTGAGGTAGGATGTTGACTCTACGTGTCTGGGGAGGAAACTCTTCTTGCTCTGATCTCTCTTCTTTCTCTTCTTATTCCAGGTTAAACTGTTCTTGAAGTGTCATCTGCTGTGAGGCGGCCAAGGTCGCCTGTCTAGTATGAATGCTTGGATCTTTAACGAGATTTTATCTTTTATGCCTTTGAGGTCAGTTACTTAGTTCTAATTAGTGTGTCTAGTGACCTTTATATAATAATTTGTTAAGTGCTCCTTTAGATGAGTTGTGCACGCTTGGTGTGGTCGTCTTAAGTAAGGTATTTTAGGCTACACTGCAAGCTCTATGTAGGGAATCGAACTGGGGACACACGCTAAATCCAGTTCTCCACTACACCCATTACTCTCTCTCTCTCTCTCTCACATACATTACAGAAATTAGACAAGATTATTGCTTTTTCTCTCTCTCTCTCTCTTCCCTTTTTTGGCACTGCAACAATCTGTAAATTGTGTTAAATGTTCTGTGGAATGTACAGAATCATTGTCATGAGCACTGCCACGGACACTGTCCTCAGCAGTGCTCGTATCAGGAATCATGAGCACTGCCACGGACACTGTCCTCAGCAGTGCTCGTATCAAGAGTCATGAGCACTGCCACGGACACTGTCCTCAGCAGTGCTCGTATCAAGAGTCATGAGCACTGCCACGGACACTGTCCTCAGCAGTGCTCATCTCTTCCAGGAAAAGAGACAATTTTCTTGGGATTTCATCACGAAATGAGGAACGTCGCTTTATGGGTCACTCTGACCTCCTTTTTGGTAGTGGTGATGATGTGAGGTGGTGGTAGTGACGTGTGGTGGTGGTGGTGTGTGGTGGTGGTTACGACGTGTGGTGGTGGTGGTGGTGATGATATGTGGTGGCGGTGGTGGTGACGTGTGGTGGTGTGTGGTGGTGGTGGTTATGACGTGTGGTGGTGGTGATGATGTGTGGTGGTGGTGGTGATGTGTGGTGGTGGTGCTGGTGGTGGCGGTAGTGGTGACGTGTGGTGGTGGTGGTGGTGGTGGTGGTGGTGTGTGTGGTGGTGGTGGTGGTGAAGTGTGGTGGTGGTGACGTATGGTGGCGGTGGTGGTGGTGACGTGTGGTGGTGGTGGTGGTGATGAGTTGTGGTAGTGGTGGTGATGTGTAGTGGTGGTGATGTGTGGTGGTGGTGGTGTGTGGCGGTGGTGGTGATGTGTGGTGATTTTGGTGGTGACTTGTGGTGGTGGTGCTGACGTGTGGTGGTGGTGATGATGAAGTGTGGTAGTGGTGGTGATGTGTGGTAGTGATGTGTGGTAGTGGTGATGTGTGGTAGTAGTGGTGGTGATGTGTGCTGATGGTAGTGACGATGGTGGTGGTTGTGGTGGTGATGGGGAGGGGGAGGGATGGTGGAGGGAGGAGGGAGATAGAGAGGGGGAGAGGGAGGAGGGAGATAGAGAGGGGGATTGGAGGGGATGGGGAGGGGAGAGGGATATTAGGATTTTTAGGAAATTTCTGCGTTTTAAATTAAGATATTAATTTAAACGTGAGAGAGAGAGAGAGAGAGAGAGAGAGAGAGAGAGAAGAGAGAGAGAGAGAGAGAGAGAGAGAGAGGAGAGAGAGAGAGAGAGAGAGAGAGAGAGAGAGAGAGAGAGAGAGAAGAGAGAGAGAGAGAGAGAGAGAGAGAGAGAGAGAGAGGAGGAGAGAGAGAGAGAGATAGAGGTACTAGAGTACAAACTGAGAGATGGTGCAGAAGAAGATATCCAGGGGATCAATGAGAAAAATGGAGAGAAACCTGCAGAGAGGTGCAACATAAGAGGGAAGTTTTAGTGGGTGAGCAGTGATATTGATCAGGAACAGACGGCTCGAAAGTGTAAGGCAAGAAACCATACCAATTCAGTGAATAGAGGGAAAGCAATGAAATATGAATCGCATGAATGCAGTTCTGCTTTCAACTCTCAATGTGTCTGCAAAATTTATACTACTCATTCTCTACTTGTGATAAACTGCAATTACTCCCTCAGACAACCTATGAGGGAACTTTGTTGATAGCCAGCTGATGATCGTGGAATCCACTGGCTCTGAATCTGATCAAATCTACTTCACTGCAACACCATGCAAGATCCGAACCCGATGCAGTTTCGGATTCCCACCGATAATCCTTTCCTTGCTGCCTCTTCCTCACAGGTCACACCTCTGTTTACGCCTAACATCAGCGTAGGATCACTGTGATTGAGTGCCTGGTGTGTCTGACGTGTGTGTGTATGTCGTGCTGGTGCACGGAACACCAGTTGATGGTGCCAGAGGATCCGAGATCCCTTCCTTTGCCCCCTCTTCACTCCGCACAGGCTCTTCACGAGATTTTATCTTCTCTCAAATATGAGTCGTGGTTCCTCTACAGTGTGTGTCGTTTGTGTGCTGTCTGTGTGTGGTCTTGTAAGTCGTGTGGATGTATGTGTGTTATTCAACTTCAGTGTGGTTGCAAGGGTCGGTCACATCTCTGGGTCCCGCTTTCATGCCGTACTAGGTCACTCTTCCCGCTCATGAGCTTTTATCATTATTTTCTTGAAAGCTATGCATGGATCTCTGCTCCACTTACATCGCTTGCCTAAACTATTCCACTTCCTGACTACTCTGTGACTGAAGAAATACTTCCTAACATCCCTGTGATTCATCTGAGTCTTCAACTTCCAGCTGTGACCCCTTGTTGCTGTGTCCCATCTCTGGAACATCCTGTTTTCCAGTGTCGTTAGGTCGATTTCTCTTAACCTCTCCTCGTGGGACATACCTCTTAGCTCTGGGATTAGTTTTGTTGCAAACCTTTGCACTTTCTCTGGTTTCCTTACATGCTTGGCTAGGTGTGGGTTCCAAACTGGTGCCGCATACTCCAATATGGGCCTAACGTACACAGTGTACAGGGTCCTGAACGATTCCTTATTAAGATGTCTGAATGCTGTGCTTAGGTTTGCTAGGCGCCCATATGCTGCAGCAGTTATTTGGTTGATGTGTGCTTCAGGAGATGTGCCTGGTGTTATACTCACCCCAAGATCTTTTTCCTTGAGTGAGGTTTGTAGTCTCTGGCCCCCTACACTGTACTCCGTCTGCGATCCTCTTTGTCCTTTCCCAATCTTCATGACTTTGCACTTGGTAGGGTTGAACTCCAGGAGCCAGTTGCTGGACCAGGCTTGCAGTCTGTCCAGATCCCTTAGTAGTTTTGCCTAGTCCTCGTCCGATTGAATTCTTCTCATCAACTTTACGTCATCTGCAAACAGGGACACTTCGGAGTCTATTCCTTCCGTCATGTCGTTCACAATTACCAGAAACAGCACCGGTCTTAGGACTGACCCCTGTGGAACCCCACTCGTCACAGGTGCCCACTCTGACACTCTGTTGTCTTCCTTACACGTATTCCCTGATCCACTGTAGTGCCTTCCCTGTTATCCCTGTCTGGTCCTCCAGCTTTTGCACTAATCTTTTGTGTGGAACTGTGTTAAACGCCTTCTTACAGCCCAAGAAAATGCAATCTATGTGTGTGTGTGTGTGTGTGTGTGTGTGTGTATCTTGATTCTTTCACTTTTCCAATCTTTCCTTTCTTCTTCCCTCTTTTCTCACCCACCACTGTCATCACCACATCCGCCCACACCACGTCAAACCCACACCTCGCCAGCATATCACCCAGGCCCCAGCCACACCATCACCCACTCACCCAACTGCGTCTCATCCACGTCTTCTTGCTCCCCCAGCTCAATCCAACACGTCCGAAGGCTTTCGACTTTGCTGCGGAGGCTGAGAGTGTTGTGGGGGAACTCAACGACAACTTCAGTTGTGATGGTCTTGAGTATGGTTATTACGCTGATCAGAGTCACAAGTGCCAGGTCTTCCACATCTGTATGCCGGTCAAGACTGCCACTGGCAGGATCCTGGACACCTTCCAGTTCAGGTACGGAAGGCAGGCTGGGTCGTACATAACTGCCAGTTTAAGCGTGGAACTCCAATACATAAATCTGGCTAAATTTGAGAATTTTTCGTTAAGTATATAAATCCTGCCAGATTCTTGATAGAGTATTTCTTTTAATGTACAAAATCATGCTAAAATCTTGCCAGAATGTTTCTCTTAATTTAGAAATGTTAGAATACTTCAAAAAATAGAGAATGATCCTTACTAACGAAAGCGATTTTACTCATGCTAATTTTGCTGAAGACTTTCCAGTTATTATTATTATTATTATTATTATTATTATTATTATTATTATTATTATTATTATTATTATTATTAGTTTAAATCGTGTGGATTATTAAGCATAACGAGGAACATTACTCTAACTCGTAGTTCTCCTTTGCAGCTTCTTCTGTCCAAACCGGACTCGCTTCAGCCAGGACTCACGAACGTGTATAGACGAGGCTCGGGCGTTCCCGTGCCACAAGGCTCACACTCTCTACGACCTCAACAAGAACATTGGCAAGCGACCCAACAAGAGGAAGAAGCCTGTCGACCCGAGGGTGGCAGTCAACGGAGCTCACAAATTTGACTCCTCGGCATTCTCTGGTGCGGGGGGAACGAAGTCTTCCATCTCCACTTCGGAGTTCTTAAGCTCCGAGTCTTCGTTTTCTTCGAACTCAGGCACCAGCGTGTCTCGGCAGTCTTCGGCGGAAGGTGATGGAAAGCCGGATCCTGTTGACTCTGAGTTTAAGATCGATGAGCCAGTTGTGTTTTCTTCTCGGCCCGCTTCTACACCGGGAGCTTCGTTCAGTTCTGCGGCAAGTCGAGGATCATCATCAGAGTCAAAGTTCTCTTCTACTGCTGCATCTACCGATCAGTCGGGCCATCGTGCTATAGGGTTGACCACAGGCAACGTTGGAGATTTCAGAACTGAGCATTCGAAAGCCTGCGAGTGGATCAGATGGTTTCAACCAGTTTACGAGTCACACGGGAGTCACTGAGCCCATATTACCTCCTGGAGCACATACATTCTCCAAAGAATCAGTGAACCGTCAGAATGTGCACCCTGGAGGAGCGCACGAACCGCGTGTCTCGACCGGAAACTTTGGTACTTCAACCACTGCTAGTGCACACGCCTTTAGTTCGTCTTCTCACGATTTCTCTGGGTTCTCCAGCTCCACAAGCCCAGCTACTCCGGCACATTTCTTCTTTTCCACTGCTTCCCCAGCATCAGCTGTGAGAGCAGGGTCAGATGGGCAGTTCACCAGTACCGCACCGGTAGGCAGTTTCGGACCTTCTATCGTCTCTGTCAGTCGTAGACCGATCTCTACTTCAGGCCAAAGCAACAAAGCCTCCATCAACAGCATTGGGTCATTTTCATTTTCCTCTGAAGGTGGTGTCAACAACATCCAAGGTTCGTCTATAGGTTTCGCACAACCATCCCCAGCAAACGCCCATTCTTTAATCACGGCCGTTCACACTGAAATTTTAAGTCGGTGAAATCAGAGGACAAAACTTTCCATGATCAAGGCTCGTTGTTTACCGGCAGTCACACTCACGGTGCTGCTTCTGGTGCTGGAGGCGAGGACAGTTCTTCGACAACTGGAAGAATCAGAGGATCGTCTTTGTCCTCAAGAGGAAGGTCGCAGTCTGCATCAGGACCTGGAAACCTCGACAACAATCGTATCTCAACAGACTCCAAAGAACGAGGGTCGGTATCTTTTTCATTGGGTGTTCCAGGAAGCATCGGTTCATCAGTAGCTTCATCTACTCTCACGTTGAAACCAGTAATTCCAACTCGTCAGCCTATCCATCAACCATTCTCTCCTACTAACCAACCTGCCCATCAACTGCTCTCTCCTACTCATCAACCTGCCCATCAACCATTCTCTCCTACTCATCAACCTTCCCATCAACCATTATCTCATATTCATCAACCTGCCCATCAACCATTCTCTCCTACCCTCCCACCAACTCATCAGTCAGTGTCGTTTACCCAACCAACCGTCTTCACAACCCATCAACTAAGTTCTCCAACCCGAAAGTCTTCCTCCGTCCACCCATCATCGACTCCACTAACCTCAGGCTCTTCAACAGCCCTTCAGAGTCCTGGTTCCTCCGCCGGAGTAATTAGAGTTGGAGGAGAGACGCGGTCCACCAGTCTTCACCATCCCTCCACCAGCATTCGCCGTCCCTCCACCAGTCTCCAACATCCCTCAACCAACGTTCACCCTCCTTCCAGCAGTAGCGTCACTATTCCGACCACAACGGAGTACTTCGACGACAACAGTTATGAGGTCTTCATCACCACTGAGACGCCGTTCGAAGCCGAGCGAAACTTTAATGATGCCAGGTTCTATGGGCCGCGAGATGGCTTCGACTCATCACTTTCCAGAGGTTCGTCCTTCACCGGAAATTCAGTACTTGCCTCCACGTCGTCAGCTGGGGCTTCAGGTTTTACTACCTCCCAGAATATCAGGGATTCTTCTGATATACTGAGATCAACTGGATCGTCTTCCACTCATGGATCTACTGCTTCACCGAGAGTTCGTGGATCAGGGAGCTTCCAGGGCTCCAGTGTTCCTGTAAATGGTCACGGATCTGGTGCTTCAGCTGGAGTCCGTGGAACAACAAATACTCAAGGGTCTAGAGTTTTTGGAACAGCAACCGTTCAAGGATCCACTTCTTCTGTAAGTGGTCACGAATCGACCAGTTTCCAAGAATCTGGAAGCGTTTCCTCTGACGGTCACAGAACAGTGAGTTTCCAAGGGTTTGAATCCACATCAGCATCATCCAGCGCCTCAAGCATCGGTAATGAAAGTAGCAGAGGATCATCTAGGAGAAGTGAAACAGCTAATACCTCATCATTTTCTGGGGAAGCATCACATAGTACCATTGACGGAAGAGGAACGTTAAACTTTGGGAAAGTAAATGGTCAAAGTGAATCTTCAGGTACGCAGGGATCTGTATCTTTAGGTGGTCCTAAAGAATCCGTTTCGTCCTCTTCTGGAGTAAGAGGGTCTTCAAGAGGAACTAAAAAAATATCAACTGAAAATGATGAAGTTTCTGTAGATATGGGACATATTAGCGCTTTTCATGCCGCAAGAGCAGCAGAAGCAGCAATGGCTGAAGAGGCTGCAGCAGCAATAGCAGCTGCTAAACGAGGTTTCTCATTCACTACTCGAAGGAACTCTTGACCTTCATGTCTTTAATGTCACTAGAAATCGAGGCAAAAAGAAGTTCCAGCCCAGTCCATTCCTCCTGCTTTCCTCACAATGGACAAATCAGAACATTAAAAGCGTAAATAATAATATTCCAAGAGGAAATCAGAGACTTGCAAGTACACGTGGGGGATCTGGGACCTCAAGACAAGTGCCTTCCAAGGCGAACAGCCTTGAGTCCCCATCTGTGCATCAAACAGCTTCTGGAACACCAGGTCAAGCAGACAATGCTATTGACACTTCCTCAAAGTTTGCATCGAATTCTGTAAATTCTTTTGTTGGTGTATCAAGCGTAGGAGGGTTTCAAGGAACAGCAGCGTTCAGTGGTGAGCAAAAGCCCAGTTCTTCAGGATTACAAACATCTAATATCCTCACGTCAAGTAGTTCTTCTGGCTTGCGTGAATCGACTGTTGATCGAGAACCTAATTTTTCTCTTCAAATACCTAGTGAATCTTCAAGAGTTCATGGCTCTTCATCATCGTCAGATACACAAAGGTTAAGTCCCTCAACAAGGATTCGCGGAGCATCCTTAGCTTCAAAGTCTCGTGGACCTTCAAGAGCTCAAGAATCCTTCGGCGCTCAGGGATCCAGTCCTGTACGAGGATTCAACACCTCGCCGGGAATTCGTGAATCATCACCATTCGTAAACACGCAAAAGACGGACACTGGCTTTACCGCTCAACACCTGGTAAGGACCAATAGCTTGGGATCTACTTCCGTGAATGGTTTCAACAGCAACAGAATGACTTCCGCCGTAGAAGAGCCGAAACAAAACGAAGATTATTATACAACGACGGAGTTTGAGAGTGAATTCACAACCGAAACAAGCTTCCTGGAAGAGAGTGAAGCTCATGACACACTCCCCACTACATACAGGCCAGAAATTTCATTGTCTGTTGATCCTAGCCAAACAGTTTCCAACGTTCGCTCACGAGCACTTGAGTCCCAGAGTTCAAGTAGTTCCTTAACTAGTAACTCACTTACCTCAGTTAAGAACAGCAGGAGGCGAGGCAGAGGCCGCTTGACGACCTCGTCGACCGATCCCTCTTCAGCGCCTTCCGTTCCTGAAGGGCCATCGCAAGATATTTCAAAGGATAATACCCAACCCTCAAAACCAACTTCTCGACATCACAAGACCAATAACTTGCCAACCACAACTCAAGCTACTCCTCCAGTTACCGTCAGAGCAGCCGGTGTGCAGGTAACGCCATTCACACCGGCTGGCAGCCGTCGCCGCGTTACAAGCTCAAGAGGAACAACCTCTCAAAGACTGCGCGATCCTCAGCCAGATTTAGTGTCAGAAGCTTCTGTTGTTAGTAGTGACGGTGGCGCCGAGGTGGCAGTTGGTGGTGAGGAGAGCAGTCAGTCCTCTGGTGCCAGGAAGGTTGTAAAGAAGAAAATCGTTATTAACGGCCGCCCGGGATCTCGTGGAAGTCAAGAAGTTGACACCACAGAAATATCCTCCTCAGCCCCAAGGCCTCGTGGAAGACACGAACTTGGCACCCCCCAGGCCTCCACTCCAAGCCCGAGGCCTCGTGGAAGACACGAACTTGGCACCCCCCAAGTCTCGACCCCAGCTACAACAAACCAAGAAGACGAGGAGAAGAGAAAGCATCAGATAGCCTTGGAAGCTCTAGCGAAATTTAATCCAGCTCTTGCCAACGCCAGAATCCTTTCAGTGAGATTTATCCCAAAAACTAAGAATAAATCAGAGAAAAGTACAACAGAAGACCCAAAGGAAACTGCTACCGATACGCCTCCTGCAGTTGGGTCCTCCAGGTCAATTAACGGTCAAAGAAGAAACTCGAGGCGCATCAATGACGTGGCTACGACCACACCTGCCACAGTGACTCAGTCATCGAGAGGGACATCTCGTGAAAGATTGAGGCCCTTGGCAGTACGTCAGCCTTCAGTGATAACAACAGAAGCCCCAGCAACAGCAACACCCGTCCCGGCTCCATTTCAAAGAAGCAGGAATAGTAACAGAAGAGGTAGTTCTCGTAAAGAAACTCTCCCCACGAATGAAGTGACAACGACACCAGCCTCGGCTTCCATATCCGACTCCAGTGACTCTTCTTTTTCGAATGAATTTCAAAGCCAGAGAAGAGGGACTGTAAGGACAGATCATGCTTCTAGCAGCCGCAGGAGGGTCCTGAAGAAGGTAACTCCTTTATCACACGGAAACACGCCAACAGTTACTAATTCTGATTCTGCATCGTCACCTGCATCATCATTTTCAGCGGCATCCCGTTCTTCATCGTCTCGTAATTCAGTTTCGTCGTCCTCTGATTCTTCTTTGTCTTTATCGTCAATCACAACAGAAGATAATTTGAGCAGCACTGCCGAAAACTCTGGTGTTTCATCGGGTCGGAATCTTCGAGTAGTAGGAACGAGCATTAAATCCAGCGTGTCTAGAGTTAGCAACAACAAGGACGACGCCCTTCTCTCTTCTGAGTCTTCATCTGCAGCATCCTCGTCAGGCACTTTATCTCAGAGTAATAGATCCACCAGCCACCCTGGTGGCTCTAACAACAGCAGAAGCCCCACCAGGAGAGTTACCAGACCGAATACTATAAACACACCCAAGAAGACTTCAAAAGAGGGCGCCACTGATGACCACAGCTCCACGAAATCTACCCACAACCCGCTGACTGACGTGGAAATAGAGGCTCTTTCAGCACTAGCCAACGTCACCACCAGCGTCGGCTCTTCACCCCAAGAATCCGCACGCGTTTTCCCCGACATCCTGCCGGAGGCGGAAGACGACACTCGACCCCGAAGAATCAATTCCAGACGCACCAAAAACTGGACCTCTCGTGGCAGGTCGAGAAGTGAGAGCAACTCGTGAAGTTAATCCTGTGATGGACGATTTTAATATTGCATTTCTCGCCATATGTATGAGATCCTGTGTGCATTATGTATGTGACTGATGTATTGAATCCATGAACCTCATTAATGTGTCTCAGACATTTGCTGATGACAACATAGTTTTAACTTGAATTATAGGTTACTGTGTACCACAAATCTGTATCCAATGTAATATATTTTCAGATTTTTACAAAAATAAAAAATTTTGATTATTGTATTCTTAACCAATTTAATGCGAAACTAATTATATATTATGAAATATATTATTCACTTATTAATAAGAATATTTGAACATTACACAAAATTTTTATGGCACCGATTAGGGAAAACTGGAGAAAAATGCCTTGAAAAAACCCAGTGTTAATTGACTAATTAGAGACATAACAAGAAAATGAGAATTTTTTTAATAGTGAAATGTTAGGCACTCAGAGGTGGAATTTAGAACACTCGTTAAAAAGAAAATATTACCAAGAACACTGAATTGGAACAATTATCGGAAAATGTTAATCGGAAAATTAAAAAAAAAATAAACTACATCAGATAAAGAACAAGTCACATGTGCAACAAATCAGTATCTTTATTGCAACACATTCCAGTCTTCCAGTCAGATTTTTCCAGTCCTGGAGTGAGAGCATTCCAGTCATCAAGTCGAATCCCTTTCTAATCCTCTAAACCAAACCGTTATTACTCTCTACCATCTCTTCCTTTACTCTCCTTATTACTGTGGTATTTATCATATTTATTGTGATTTCTTATATATATATATTAATTATATAATATTTAATATAATATATATATATAATATATTAAATATATAATATATATATTATATATATATATAATTTATATATATATATATATAATATATTATATTATATATTATATACATACTATGATCTGTACTGGAAAAGGAAAACTCAAGGGACTTCAGAGGGAAAGATAAAAGGCCCGTGAAAGTCAAACACAGCTCCGGAACTTTCCTCGGCAAACAGAAAGTTTTTTTAGCAAAGTTCCCATTTGGGGTTTCCCTGCGTCACCAGACAGTAAAAGGGGTGAGTGAACTTTGTACGTCTGTAGTTGTGAAAGCAGTACGTTTCTCGTAGTTGTCGACGTTTCGGAAGGTGGTACCTAGCAGACGCGAGATTATACCTGGTAGATACGGGGCGATACCCAGCAGACGAAGAAAGCGCTTTCTCTAGGCATGATACCCAGCAGACAAGGTAACCTCACACTCCCAGGCATGATACCCAGCAGACAAGGTAATCCACACTCCCAGGCATGATACCCAGCAGACAAGGTAATCCATACTCCCAGGCATGATACCCAGCAGACAAGGTAACCTCACACTCCCAGGCATGATACCCGGCAGACAAGGTAACCCACACTCCCAGGCATGATACCCAGCAGACAAGGTAACCTCACACTCCCAGGCATGATACCCAGCAGACAAGGTAACCCACACTCCCAGGCATGATACCCAGCAGACAAGGTAATCCATACTCCCAGGCATGATACCCAGCAGACAAGGTAACCTCACACTCCCAGGCATGATACCCGGCAGACAAGGTAACCCACACTCCCAGGCATGATACCCAGCAGACAAGGTAACCTCACACTCCCAGGCATGATACCCAGCAGACAAGGTAACCCACACTCCCAGGCATGATATCTAACAGACAAGGTAACCCACACTCCCAGGCATGATACCCAGCAGACAAGGTAACCTCACACTCCCAGGCATGATACCCGGCAGACAAGGTAACCCACACTCCCAGGCATGATACCCAGCAGACAAGGTAACCCACACTCCCAGGCATGATACCCAGCAGACAAGGTAACCCACACTCCCAGGCATGATACCCAGCAGACAAGGTAACCCACACTCCCAGGCATGATAGCCCAGACAAGGAAAACCCACACTCCCAGGCATGATCCCAGCAGACAAGGTAACCCACACTCCCAGGAAAGATACCTAATAGACAAGGTAACCCCACTCCCGGGAAAAAGATACCTAACAGACAAGGTAACCCCACCTCCCAGGCATGATACCCGCAGACAAAGTAACCCCCACTCCCAGGCATGATACCCAGCAGACAAAGTAACCTCACACTCCCAGGCATGATACCTAACAGACAAGGTAACCCACACTCCCAGGCATGATGCCCAGCAGACAAGGTAACCCACACTCCCAGGCATGATACCCAGCAGACAAGGTAACCTCACACTCCCAGGCATGATACCCGGCAGACAAGGTAACCCACACTCCCAGGCATGATACCCAGCAGACAAGGTAACCCACACTCCCAGGCATGATACCCAGCAGACAAGGTAACCCACACTCCCAGGCATGATACCCAGCAGACAAGGTAACCCACACTCCCAGGCATGATACCTAACAGACAAGGTAACCCACACTCCCAGGCATGATGCCCAGCAGACAAGGTAACCCACACTCCCAGGCATGATACCCAGCAGACAAGGTAACCCACACTCCCAGGCATGATACCCAGCAGACAAGGTAACCCACACTCCCAGGCATGATACCCAGCAGACAAGGTAACCCACACCCCAGCATGATCCCCAAAGCAGAAAAGGTAACCCACACTCCCAGGCATGATACCCAGCAGACAAGGTAACCCACACTCCCAGGCATGATACCTAACAGACAAGGTAACCCACACTCCCAGGCATGATACCTAACAGACAAGGTAACCCACACTCCCAGGCATGATACCCAGCAGACAAAGTAACCTCACACTCCCAGGCATGATACCCAGCAGACAAAGTAACCTCACACTCCCAGGCATGATACCTAACAGACAAGGTAACCCACACTCCCAGGCATGATACCCAGCAGACAAGGTAACCTCACACTCCCAGGCATGATACCTAACAGACAAGGTAACCCACACTCCCAGGCATGATACCCAGCAGACAAGGTAACCCACACTCCCAGGCATGATACCCAGCAGACAAGGTAACCCACACTCCCAGGCATGATGCCCAGCAGACAAGGTAACCCCACACTCCAGGCCCATGATCCAGCAGAAAAGGTAACCCACACTCCTAGGCATGATGCCCAGCAGACAAAGTAACCTCACACTCCCAGGCATGATGCCCAGCAGACAAGGTAACCCACACTCCCAGGCATGATACATAACAGACAAGGTAACCCACACTCCCAGGCATGATACCTAACAGACAAGGTAACCCACACTCCCAGGCATGATACCCAGCAGACAAAGTAACCTCACACTCCCAGGCATGATACCCAGCAGACAAGGTAACCTCACACTCCCAGGCATGATACCTAACAGACAAGGTAACCCACACTCCCAGGCATGATGCCCAGCAGACAAGGTAACCCACACTCCCAGGCATGATGCCCAGCAGACAAGGTAACCCACACTCCCAGGCATGATACCCAGCAGACAAGGTAACCCACACTCCCAGGCATGATGCCCAGCAGACAAGGTAACCCACACTCCTAGGCATGATGCCCAGCAGACAAAGTAACCTCACACTCCCAGGCATGATGCCCAGCAGACAAGGTAACCCACACTCCCAGGCATGATGCCCAGCAGACAAGGTAACCCACACTCCCAGGCATGATACCCAGCAGACAAGGTAACCCACACTCCAGGCTGATACCTAACAGACAGGTAACCCACACTCCCAGGCATGATACCCAGCAGACAAGGTAACCCACACTCCCAGGCATGATACCTAACAGACAAGGTAACCCACACTCCCAGGCATGATACCCAGCAGACAAGGTAACCCACACTCCCAGGCTAGAACAAGTGTATTAGTCTTCAAGAGAAAACCGGACAAGCATCTTCACCAAGTGCCAGATTAACCAGGCTGTGATGGCTATGTGGGGCAGCGAGCCTCCAGCAGCAACAGCCTGGTTGACCAGGCTAGCACCAAACGAGCCTGGCCTATGGCCGGGCTCCGACAGTAGTAAGTCTCAAAGGCATATCAAAGGTAAGGTATGATACCCAGCATCGTAAACACATCTCCAGTGCAGTCTCGCCACAGTATCAACAAACGCCTGAGACCTGGTACGCATCTTACGCGCCAGTCTATCCGGCTCCCAGCCTGGTACGTCTATCCGGCTCCCAGTCTGGTACGTCTATCCGGCTCCCAGCCTGGGTAAATTTTGCTTCACTCAGAGGGGAAATCGCCCACCGGAAATTATCGGTAAAAAGGGTATGTTTATGATCCTTGGCCGTGGGTAGTAGAGGGGAAAAGTGCCAAGTCTTCAGGGAAGGGAAATTAACCTGTGTTAAGACTTTACTGAAAGTAACGCAAATTTATTTTTAAGAAAGTTTAAAGTGGTGTGTGTGTGTGTCATTGTATTTTTATTCGGTCATCTTACAGGTGTCTCGAAAAGCTAGGTAATATATATACCAGTTATTAATTTAGGTAGAAGTAGACAGTTCTCGGTAGACTCGTAAGTCGAGTCCGTCTTTTCCTTCTTGTTCTCCTATTCCCTCTCTTCCTCTTCCTCTTCCATTATGCTCCCCAGACAGGCCACCCCACTACAGGTACTAATAATTAGGTTAAACAGCCTGGGGTCTCCGCCGACACATACCGTTACCTCCGACCTGGTGTGACACCTTCACCAGCGTTCCAGCCTAATGAGGCAGCGACCCATTGTTTCCATGTGCCTCGGGATTCCAGAATTTACAAAAGAATATGTCCATGTTACAGTAAATATAACACCTGTGTCTGAGCCGTCAATCTACGTCTAATGTGTTCAAATTTAGTTAGTTAGTTAGTTAGTTAAAGATTAGCCCGGGCCTTGTCCAAGTGGTGGCCCGGCCTTGGGTCCCTCTTTAGAAGTGTCTGAGACCTAAGTCTCCCATGGGAGGAGGCACAAGTACCTCCTCATCTTTGGGACCAACTGTCCCCAGGCCTAGCCACAAGCTAGGCCTCTCTGGTGCCATCCCCGCCCCAAGGGGCTAATGGGAATGACAGTCTTATGAGCTAAAGGCTCGGGCTCAGGCACCTACCCTACCCTAGAAGGGTTAGGCATGGTATCGATCGTGTTCAAATACTTGGGATATAATACTATATATATATATTTTATAAAATAATATATATATATATTATAATATATATTTATAAAATATTTTATATTTATTATATATATATATATATATTATATATAAATAATATATTTATATATATATATATATCAG